TACAGAGTACAAGCTCTACGAAAAAAAAAATTTAAAAATAATTCGGGTATACCCGAAACCCAACAAACGTACCCTTTATCCGACTTGAAAAAAATCGGGTCACCCGATTACCCGAAAAAATTTACCTGATACCCGAAAAAATCGGACGGGTAATTCAGGTATCGGGTATTTTCGACAGGACTAATTGGTACTATAAATTGGACACACGTCAAACTCTAAAAGGTTGACAGGGCATTTGCGTCATTTCCTATTTAAAGCCTAGCTCGAATTATGTGTTACGATGATTTGGTATATAGAGATTTCCTGCAATATAATCTAATCCATAAGATATCCCCTCTTGTCTCAACCGACAAGAACTCTATTGAAGAGAAACACAGGGTGAAATCAGTGTGGGGCACCTTTTTCCATGGTGAATCCCTTGATCTTGTTCAAAAACTTTCTTTCATCCTCAAAATTTCTTCGAATTTTTGCAGGCCATGATCGATTTTTAGTTTCATCAAGGCACGCCTAGTTGTTTTGATTTACGTCGCCGTGGAGAATTGCATATGCCGCTTGTGTTGTCTTCAATTCATATCTGCAAAGGAAGCCTGGTGGAGGAAACTGATTTTGATTACTTTCCCCTTTCTTCAGGGGAGAAGGAATGGAAAACCCTTGAGAAAAAGGAGATATACGTCGAGAAAAATGTCGATATCGGTGGATTGGTCGGAATTACAACCGGAATTGATCGAATCAATTGCGAAAAAACTCAAAGTTCACAAGGATTACGTACGTTTCAGAGCTGTTTGTTCGAATTGGCGAAAGTCAACTTCTAAAACCCCAAAACATCTCCCCTGTCAACTCCCATGGCTAATGCTTCCTCAAACCAATAATCAGAATCGCCAATCTCATCTCCGAGCGTTTTTCAGCCTTTCCGATAACAAAACCTACCGCCTGAGTCTTCCAGAAGCTTCTAACATTCGTCGCCGATGTGGATCCTCTCATGGTTGGCTTGTAATCCTCGAAGAAACCCCAGCGGTTTTCCTTATAAATCCATTAACACGAGTTAAACACCACCTTCCACCTTTATCCTCGTTTCCCAATGTTACAAAGTTCAATTTCTATGATATAGGAAGAGAATACACTCTCAAGACATCAGAAGGTGATGCTTACACCTGCAGTTTGAAAGAAATGCGTGATTCTTTCATCAAGAAAGTGGTGTTTTCTTCCAGTCCTTCTGATTCCGATTCAGATTACTTTGCCCTTGCGATTCTCAACCAAACAGGTGATCTTGCTTATTGCAAAAAAGGTGATAGCTTTTGGAAATTTATCGATAATGCACAATCTTATTGTGAAGATGCTGTTTATCACAAGGGGTGTTTTTATGCTGTGAGTAAATATGGAACAATTGCAGTGTGCGATGTGTCTAGGGCTTTACCCAATGTTTCTTTTATCCAAACACCATTACAAGTTGGTGGTGATATGCAGTATTTAGTTAGTTTAGATGATGAATTATTGTTGGTGACACGATATTTAGAGCTTGGATTCGATGTTGATCAGCATCAACTTGATATCTTTTACAAAACGACTGAATTTAGGGTTTATAAGCTGGTTTTGAATGGACCAAAGTGGGAGAGTTTGAGTAAATTGGATGAATGGGCTTTGTTTGTGGGGGAGAATTCATCAATGGCTTTTCGTGCTTCTGATTTTCAAGGGTGTAAAGGGAATCAAATTTATTTCACAGATGATTATTCGGAGTGGAATTATGATGGTGCTAATGGTGATCATGATTTGGGTGTCTATGATTTGGAAGATGGTTGTGTTGTAGGTTTGCCATGTTATCCAAGAAAGTTCTACAATGGAAGAAGATGGCCTCCTCCCATTTGGGTCACTCCAAGTTTGCATTGATTATGTAAGTCTTTGATTTTTTTCATATTTTATGTTATGTGTTGTATAATAGTATGTAAAAGAAAATGAAAATGTTTATAAACTCGTGTAATGCTAATGGTATGATGGTAAATTAGATGGTAGTTGTAGATTTGTATGTATATAAGTAACTAACTATAGCAAGTGTTGTTGATAAAGTGTACTTGGGTCTTTGTATGTTCTATCTTATTTAATAATATGAAAGTAAAAGAGAGCATCCTCTTAGTATAATGGTAAATTAGAAGACTTAACCCGCTACACGTTAGATATGGTTGCTCTTTTTTTCTCAATACAGAAAGAATGACTTAACAGAGAAAATTGCAAAAAAATGTTTTCACGGTTAAGTCCTATTTTTTACAAAATTTCTCTCATTTATGTTTTCCTACAATTTCCCCAAGTATGTTGTCATTCTCTTAAACATTTATTAAACATCATTTATCCTAATATCACTTTCTCCAACCAAAAAGAAAATGAAAGATTACCAATAATCTCCACAAGAGCATAACCCATTAGCAAAATGATGAAACCGCTTCGTATCACGAATAATAATCTCACGCTTTTCCACAAGCGACACAAACTTCGCCATGTTATGACAATCACCACAAATCCTCAAATTCTTCATAATCACAATCGGCATTTTCTCATTACATACCAACAAACCAAATGCAATAGCCAACTTCTCACTATGTTCCCCAACCATATCATCTTTAACTTCTTCAACATCATGTAAGACAAACTCCTTATTCAACGTATACCCCACTTCCCGAATTTTCGCCATAACTTCATCTAACTTATTGTAAATACGCACAAAATCCATGTGTGATTTATCACTCACAACAAACCGATAAACTTTGTGCTCATGTTCAATAAAACTACACCCCGCAGTTCTTACAAGATTTTTCGATTTCATTAACCCCCGAACTTTTGAAAAATCGCCCCAACGACCCGCTTTCGAGTACATACTCGATAGCATAATGTAATTTCTAGAATCCAAGGGGCTTAATGTAAATAACTTTCTTGCAATTTCTTCACCGAGCTCGATGTTGTTATAAACTTTACAACCGTTTAAAAGTGCTCCCCAAACACCCGAATTGGGCTCCATTGGCATGCAATCGATTAAAACACGTGCGTCTTTCAAACGGCCGGACCTACCAAAAAGGTCAACCATGCAAGAGTAATGATCTAACCGAGGTTCAATTCCATAAACACTAGACATGATGTTAAAAAAATGTTGTCCTTCATTTACAAGACCTGAATGACTACACGCGCTTAACAAATGAGTGAAAGTGACATGATCTGGTTTTAGACCTTTTTGGATCATGAGCTTGAAATGCTCGATCGCTTGTTTTCCATACCCGTGGATCGTGTATCCCGCAAGCATAGCAGTCCACGCGATCGTATCGGGATTTTTCATTTGTTTAAAGAGTTCGCATGAATCCGATAATCTTCCAGATTTCGCGTACACGGTCAACAATGTGGTCAAAATTGGAATATTTGTATCTAAACCGCAACATAAAATATTACCATGAAATGTGTCTACTAGTTTTCCAACGCCTATATCGGCACAACCGTGAAGTATTGTAACAATGGTAGCTTGATCAGGGTAAATGGAAACTCTTCGCATTGAGTTAAAATACCAAATACAATCCTCCATAAGCCCACTTTGAATATGAACATTGATAATTGAATTCCATGAGACCAAATTTGGCGACTTGATTGTGTCAAATAATTTAGAAGCCGTATTCAAATGACCGAATTTGCCATACATGTTGATAAGAGAATTCAAGACTTTTGTTTCGGATAATAAGCCACTTTTTACAGCAAAACCATGAAGGTAACTACCTTCCAGAATTTCACAAGCTGGAATCAAGGAAATGAGAGTTATCTCATTTGGGTTCATTTCATACTCATGTCGCATTCTATAGAATGCATTTAGGCTTAAACTTACTTCCCCTTTTTGAGAAAATACGGAAATGATCGAGTTCCAGGATACCAAATCCTTGTTAGGAATTTCATCAAACAGGTGGTGTGCATCCTTGATGCTTCCTAATCTTGCATAAAGTGACACCAGTCTGTCACCAATGAATCCGTCGTTGTAGTTTAAACACTTAACAACTCTTGAATGGATCAACCGGCAAATGGGTATTGAAGCGCATAAGGTTATAGACCTTATTACTGATGAAAGAAGTGAATTTGGGTTATGTTGAGATTGGAAATTATGATGATTATAAAAAGCATTAGACAAGCTTTGTAGGTCACTTTGATTATGAAGACGTCTAGGTTGAGATCTTATCATGTGCCTTAAAGCTTTGAAATTGGAGTTTGAAGAGAAAATAGAATTGATCAAGTGAAAACAAGCACACCGGGTTGAAGACAGCATCTCCCATTTTTCGGAAACTGGTGTCCAAGTCTGAAGTATATTACTTCGGTTCACCATCAAAAATGCATTTTCAGTTTTCAGTATATTTTGTTTTTCCCTAATAAAAATATTTTTTTTTTATTTTTTTACAATAACAAACATAGCTATATTTGTTTTACGATAACAGTAATTTATATCTTATAACTTAGTCAAATTTGCAAATTTGGTCCTTTGGTTTGTAAAAAAAAAATTGGGACTTTTTGGAGATGTTCTAAAATAATTTTTTTGTGTGTTTTTGTCCATTTCCGAATTGAATGTGTTTGAAATGATATTTTTGTTATTTCTATTTGTTTTTTCTTTTCTTTTTATTTACTTTACTATTTATTAATTAAAATAAAACAAAAAACAAAATATAAACCCCACCCCACCCATATCTCTCTTCCTAACCCTTTCTATACTTTTTCACCGGAAACCAGTGTCTATGTCGGAAACCACCATGCTGGAAACTACCACTGTCGGAAATTGTCATTGTCATCGGAACACTAGTCATTGTCGTTCATCTCTCTCGCGTCGGACTATATGGTCGGATTCCACCAAATACCAGCAGAAAACTAGATGCACGCAAAATCCTCAGCCTCCGATCTTATTTTCTCACCGGGAATCGTCCTTCTGATATTTCGTTTATTCTTTCTCTTCAATCTCTTTACCTTCGACACAATAACTTCTCCGGTAACAATCCTCTTCCTCTTTCCCCTCAAATAATTGTTCTAGATCTTTCCTTCGATTCCTTCTCAGGTGACATTCTGACAGCAATAAAAAATCTCTCTCTCGTCTCACCTCATTGAACCTCCGGTTCAATTCGTTTTCTGGTGTTGTTCCCGAGGTTAACCTCACTAGGTTATGACTCTAATTTCTTGATGGAAGTGGTTATAACTTCGATCTTGAAGATCTGTTGAGAGCGTCGACGGAGGTTCTTGGAAAAAGAATGTAACATCCCAAAAATACCGAGTAAAATTTCCTTCGATTCCTTCTCAGGTGACATTCCGACAACAATAAAAAATCTCTCTCTCGTCTTTCGTTTTCTAGTGTTGTTCCCGAGGTTAACCTCACTAGGTTATGACTCTAATTTCTTGATGGAAGTGGTTATAACTTCGATCTTGAAGATCTATTGAGAGCGTCGACGGAGGTTCTTAGAAAAAGAATGTAACATCCCAAAAATACCGAGTAAAATTTTCATTTTTAAATAAGTCAAAATCATTCATTCATTATCCAAAAACACGATCAGAGTAAAAATATTCTCAAAACATCATAGTCAAATCATAAATAATCATTGCTGAATAATTTTCCAGGGAATGCAGTGCGATCAAGTCGGGGTCTTCCTTTTGAAACTGGAAGTAGCTGAAAATGTTTAAACCACAAAACCGTAAGCACAAAGCTTAGTGAGTTCCCCAAAATATCGCATACAACATATATATAAACACGTAGCTGTGTCGGGTCCGTAACAACCTCCAGGTCCATATCAACCCCGAGTCCATAATAACTCCATATAACAGCATGTAGCTATGTCATGCCTGTAACAACCCCCAGGTCCGAATCAATCCCGAGTCCATAATGACTACATATAGCATCATGAGTCACATATACAACAAGCACATACATGCATCTCAGCAAGTGTCACAAGGATAACTATCTTCCTACAAATATAATCCAATGGGTCGGTATTGGTGTCTTTAACCCACGAGTACAATGAAGAGGCTCACCTGAACTACTCAACAGAACCCCAACAGCTACCTCAACATCAGAATAGCCAACTGAAGCTTCTTAAAGCCAAACCGAAACCAACCCTTAGTCAATACTCGATTCTACCCGAGTTTGACCAAAAGTCAAACCGGTTAAAAAGTCAACGATCAAAGCTAAGGTCAAAAATTGCCAACAACAACCCTCCACGTCATAGGCACTAAATGCCAAAACAGTCGCTAATTCCCCAATCGCCATGTCGTTGTCACACCCCCAAACCAGAATGGCGGAAACATTCGGGGGTGGGTGACTTCACGTAGTACCATAACAGTTGAATATTGTAAAGAAAGTAACACAACCATCATAAATATAATAAAAACTTACATTGTTGCGTGTAATACATGTTTCAAAAGAATATTACAAATATGATGATTTAAAATGTTTTGATAATAGACGCCTTAGCGTTCCTTCTCCAAAAGCTGATGGTTACCTGTATTACTGATTCCCTGAAAAATACAAGTAGTTTTGAAAAAGGGTCAACAATTAAGTTGGTGAGTTCATAAGCGTTTTTGTACTGAAGTTTGTATGTCCTTTAGTAAAAATAACCGA